AAACCAACGAGTTTTCTTCCTCCACACCCACCAGGGCCGGATTAAGGGGGGGCTAATCGAGCAGCTGCCCGGGGCGCCAACCTATGGGGGTGTCTGATGGCAGCTCTAAGGGGCGCCGCACGGCCCCCAGCCCCAGGTGCTCAGGGCCTCATGGCAGCTGTAAGGTGGCAGAGTGTTACTGCCCCCGAGTGCCTGCCCCCCCCCCCATGCTCCAGGGTCAGGGAGGCTGGGGCCACGCACTGGGCAGGGGGCCTTGGCTCCCATGGGGGCAGGGCCTGGGTAGAAGGGGCGGGGCTGGAGGCTTGCCTCCCCCAGTCCTACCTCCATGCCAATAGCCCTTCATAGTGATAAGGAAGCAAGGTGGTGTAGACCCACTATGGCTAGTCACCATCCCACTGTTGTAGGACGGAATCAGCTACCAGAGTGGTACCCAGGGTGCGCGGTGGGACTGGTTATCTGCCCAATACGTTATTTTCCCTTTCCCAGTGCTGCCTCAGGAGCTGGCAGCACACGGGCCAGAACTTTCTGCCTCTGCCCACGGGACGGTTTGCCTGCTGAGGGTCACGCGCCACCCCGGAGGCAGAGGCACAGGGACAGACATGCCTAGAGGAGGACAGAGACGAGATCCAAGCTGCGTCTGCTGCTTTCTGGTGTCTTTCATCAGTAAGCAAGAGTTTACTATAGCTAAACAAGCGCGTTTCATGCCACGACGAAAACTGTGGCTTAGCGGCAGCCGGAGGCGCTGCTCATGAAGACGTTAAACCAGGAAACAGAGCGTAGCAAAGGCTCAATAGCTCTGCAGCGTAAAGTGGAAATGACACTATTTGGAGAGGCTTTGATTAGATGGACGGGCCCATAGGATCAATAGCAACCGCATAGGTCCTGCTAGACTTCATGGAGTTTCTGGTTTGGGGATTGAAATCCCTCCGTAGGGTCTGGACTTTAGTTTTTATTTTCTTTTAGATTTTCTTTACTTTGTTTTTAACGTTGCTTCATTTCAGGATTTGTGTTGGGAGGTTGCTGGGGATTTTTTGGGTTGGTTGGGGTTTCTTTGGGGGGTTCAGTTATGAAAATTATCCTCCGAGGAGGGGAAAGAATTGTACATCTCAGGCCACCCTGCGACGTCCTGAGAAATGAGATCATCAGTCAGTGGAGCCCTAAACCAGTGATTCCTAACCAAATGCACTTCTAAGAGGTTTGTTCTTTAGCTAGTCCATCAAAGCTACTAGTTATCTCAACAGAGAAGTTACACCCCATAAAATAGCCGGAGAGTACATCTACACAGCGGCATTTTTTCAGAATGACTGACGTTATTCTGAAATAACAAAGAGCATGTCTACAGTGCAGGCCGTTACAGTAATTCCTCATTTAACACGTGCCCGCTTAACACGTTTTCGTGATAGCATTTTTATTTTTTTTTAGGGAACGTTTTTTGAATTACACGACCGTCCCTGGAATAACACGATTTCCCCAGCCGGCCCATTGCCGGTGGCTGCATGGGGCTTCCCCCGCCTCCCTGCAAAGCGATGGAGGGTTCACACTCGCCGCGCCGTTCCCCGGCGACCCCCCCTCTCCGGACACAGTGCAGGTCCCGGCAGACCCATTACAGGGGCATACTCCCAACCCAATCCCCCCTCCCCTCTCCTCTCCTTCCCTTCCCTTTCCCAGAGCCAAACACTTCCCCTCCCTGCTGTAACCCAGTTCCCTTTCTCCCCCAACCATATGTCCCGGTCCCAACAGACACCACCACCTTGAAATGCAACCCCCACCTTTTCCATTATTTTCAATGGGAAAATTGACCCCACATAACACGTTTTCACTTAACACGATCATTTTCTGAAACATCTCTGTAGTGTTAAATGAGGAATTACTGTATTTAGACCTAACGGTGAGCTGGAGGGCTTCTTACTCCGACTCTTGTGACCCTCATTTCACGAGGAGTAGGGAAGTCGAAGGGAGAGTGTTCGTCCTTCGACCTCCTGCTGTGTAGACAGCGCCCAAGGCCGAGTTAAGCTATTTCCACTTAAGCCATGCGATTGACGTAGCTGAAGTTGTGCAGCTTAACTCGGCTTTAGCCCTGCTGTGTAGACGTACCCTGAGGCTGTGTCTAGACTGGCAAGTTTTTCCGCAAAAGCACTTGCCAGCTGTCTACACTGGCCGCTTGAATTTCCACAAGACCACTGACTTCCTACTGTCTGAAATCAGTGCTTCTTGTGGAAATACTATGCTGCTCCCGTTCGGGCAAAAGTCCCCCTGCGCTGTGATGTGTGAGTCCCACTGACTCACCCACATGTGTATTAACCCAGACACCTAGGCTCAGCCTGAGGAGATAACAGGGGATCCCCAGGGGGAGAGACAAAGGGAGAGAGGCAGAGACCAACACCAGGTTTCGGGGGAAGGGGCAGTGGCTGGCTGGGAAACATGAAGGAAGCAGCCTTAGCTGAGGGCTGAGGGTCTAGTGATGACAATGGACCCCCTAATCCAAGGGGTCTGAGGCATCCTGGCCCCGACTCCTGAAACCACATCCCGACTATGCTGTGCTGTATCCTGGAGGAGCAATAAACCCTCGCTATTCTACTGGTTGGCGGAGTCTCATCTTGCTGCAGACAGGGTGCAGGATCGGGTGTACCCGACGTGCCACCACAGTCACGTCTGCTATTTGTTCTCAAGCTCTACAGGGCAGATTCTCCAACCCTTTTTAGTCCCCTTAGCTGGAGCGGTGCTAAGACAAGTAGTCCTGGGAACTCCTCCGCTGGTAGCATTCACACTACGGCAGCTGTCCCTGTTCAACCCAGCCTTGAGGTGCGACCTATGCTGGGTTGGAGCAGCGAGGCATGTCAGGGCTGGGGCCAGAGCACAAGAGGGTCTTAATTTCTGACAGGAGCCAGCTGGGCCCAGGGCACCCCCAGGATTGAGAGGCAGGAGGGCAGAAAAGAAACATAAAAGCCACCTGTGCTCCTTGCAAGTGAGCAAACCCCTGAACCTTGGGCGAAGGAAAAGCCACCGAGAAATCACTTCCAGCCACAACCATCGCCCCATATGTCTCTCCGCCCCCAGCTGGATACCGACCGGCCAGACTTAATTATTAAGTAAATACGAATCTCCGTATGCTCTTCTCAAGAGGGGACACCGTGACTTTCAGGGCCAAACCCTTCCCCCGGTGATGGGTCTTGCACAACGCCAGCTCACAGCAGTTCCTTGGGGGGAAATCCTTTCCCTTACTTCTCAGGGCTGGGCGCACAGTCCACAGGGCGCTGCCCCCTGCAGCATCCCTCTTCTGTAAAGCCCACGTGCTTTCTCTTAAGCCCCATCGGGGCAGCAGGTGCACTGTTCCCCAGGTCTGGGCCCCTCGCCTTCAGGGCACCGCACTGCCCAGCACCTGGCTACTTGCTAGCTGCCCCGGCTGGGCCCCGCTCTCAGCCTGCCGCCTTGGGCCTGCAAACTCTTTGGCTGGGCCTGCTGTTCCCTGTTAAGAGGCCAGTCTCCCTGCACATAAGACCATAAGAACGGCCGTACTGGGTCAGACCAAAGGTCCATCCGGCCCAGTATCCTGTCTGCCGACTGGCCAACACCAGGTGCCCCAGAGGGAGTGAATCGAACAGGCAATGATCAAGCGATCTCTCTCCCGCCATCCATCTCCACCCTCTGACAAACAGAGGCTTGGGACACCATTCCTTACCCATCCTGGCTAATAGCCATTAATGGACTTAACCTCCATGAATTTATCTAGTTCTCTTTTAAACCCTGTTCTAGTCCTAGCCTTCACAACCTCCTCAGGCAAGGAGTTCCACAGATTGACTATGCGCTGTGTGAAGAAGAACTGCCTTTTATTTGTTTTAAACCTGCTGCCCGTTAGTTTCATTTGGTGGCCCCTAGTTCTTGGATTATGGGAACAAGTAAATAACTTTTCCTTATTTACTTTCTCCACACCACTCATGATTTTACAGACCTCTATCATATCCCCCCTTAGTCTCCTCTTTTCCAAGCTGAAAAGTCCCAGTCTCTTTAATCTCTCCTCATATGGGACCCGTTCCAAACCCCTAATCATTTTAGTTGCCCTTCTCTGAACCTTTTCGAATGCCAGTATATCTTTTTTGAGCATCGTCTTTACCCCCCCCCCCCAACAAAATTATGAGAGTAAGCGCAACCCAATTTCTACCTCCCCTTGACAGGCCGCCTCTGAGGTAAACAGAAACCTCACATTCTCTTCTCTGAGAAGGGGCGGCAAGTGTGAGAACGGGCCTGGAATGGCAGCACCAGGGAGACTTTTGCCACATGGTTTATTTGTGGTACAAGAATTATCCCAGCTCTGAGGAAACTCATCTACAGACTGTTAATGTGCCGGACACAGAGGGCAGCCCTGAGCCGGAGGGGACGTTGCCAAGCCTTCCTCCACGGCTCTGAGGGCTGTGTACAAACAAGCAAGAGTGGGAAGCGGGCCCAGGATGCAGCTGTGCCAGCTTTCCCCTTGGGAGAGGCAAGCAAGGCCTCATGTGCTATAGAGGCAGCCCCGTCCGGCACCACACAGCACATCCCAGGAGGCAGTGGGGAGCATGACAAAGCTTCAGCTCCAAACACAAGCAAGTCTCTCTTCCATAAGTGAATAGCCGAGCTCTGTCAAGCAGAGGGAATTCTTTGTACCATACATGAGCTGGGTCATTGTATCCCACTAGAGGGCAGTGGGAAATATACTCCCAAGCCAGGAAAATCTGTGCATACCCCTAGAACAGGGGTGGCCAATCCATTCTGGGCAAAGAGACAAGATATCAGTGAATCCAGCATGAAGAGCCAGGGCAAAGTTGTCGACCAAAAAAAAAAAAAAAAGGACTGCCCCTTTAAGAAAATGCATTCAGAGGCTCCCACCATCTTTAATTCTCCATTTTTAATGGCTGTGCTAGATGGCTCCTCTGCCCAAGTCAGCAAAGGGAGCTGGGAGGAGAGGGCCATTTTTGTGTGTGGGGGGCGAGTGGTCGGGGGGGCGGGGGGGGGGGGGGGGGGGGTGAGCTTTGCCTGCTCTAGAGTGTCCTCCTAGTTGATCATTCTTGAATGCATACAAGAATATGCAGGCTCTCCAAAAGTTCAAGCCAACAATCCATGCCTGAAGCCATCCAGCACCATCAAAAGGGGGCATACAGAGTTGGGCTGACACATCTGAGAAGTCAAAGTGGCAGCTCCATCAGCCCAGCCCACCGAGGGCACTGTTATACCGCACACAAGCAAGTCCAACGTTCCTCCAGCAGAGGGCAGCGTTGCAGTCCCTCAAATCATTACGTGGCAGTATCTCCCGAAAGACGTGTAAAAACACATACATGGTTCCCCTAAAAAAAAGTGATCTTCTTGGACCATGGTCTTCCATCTTCGGCCTGTTCTCAGCTTGTTCTTATTGGCTAGGAACAATAAGATTTCACTCAAACTGGCCTTGAAAACACAGGGCTTCACTGTCCAACCCCGCGCTGAAGGCCTTGCTTTCTTTCCTTGGTGGTTGTCTTCATTCTCTCAGGCAGAAGCAAGCAGTGAACGGGATGATATTTTGGGGTCCCTGGAGCCCGTCCATCTCCAGTTATAACAATCCACACCCATCCCTCCTTGTTTTAGAGCTGGCGATCAGCTGATAGGAGAAATGTCCCTGGTCCCTTCATGGGGAGAGATGGGGTCGGAAGGTGCGCGGACGGATCATCATGGTGACCTTCTTCAGGGAGTAGTAATCGGTGTCTTTCCAAGTGTACCACACAATGCCGTCTGGGCCCAGGATCTTGCGGTTTTTGATGGTGTACCTGCCGCCCTGTGACAGAGAAGGAGATTGTGAGGAATGGGAAACACTTAGAAGTGACAGTCTAGTCATTTGGGAACGCAGTGGGAAGTTCAGTGTAGGCTCTACTGCTTTAGCTAGGAGATGACTGCTGTTCTTCACTGGTGCCGGCAGTATGTCCGGCACCGTGCAAACATCCCCTGGCAATGCATGGGGATGCATCTCCCACCAGGCATTCAAGATTGTGCAACCTGGATTGTTTTCACTACAGGATCATTTATTTACAGGGTCAGGGATGAAACCCCTCAGGCATGAAATCTGCGTGAGTAGAACTGAGCCTCGTTTTCTCTCCCTTCCAGCTGGCCCATTGACCCAAGACGCAGAGTTAGGTTGTCTCTCCAGCTGCTCCCGTCCACATGGTGCAAGAGAGCTGAGCTGAGCGGAAGGATAAGATGGTGGTAATGACCTAGACTGGGGTGGGGAATCTTTTTTGGGTTGGGGGCCACTGATCCACAGAAAAATCAATTGGGGGCAGCACACAATTGAGAAGTAAAAATAAAAACCTAAATACAGTAAACTTCCGGTAATCCGGCACCTTTAGGACCCAGAGGGTGCCGGATTATCGGATATGCCGGACTATCGGAAGGGGGGGGGCTATGAGGGGTCTGGCATGGGGAGGAGTAGGGAGGATGGGGGGGCGGCGCTGTGGGACCAACCCAGCAGCACACCAGCTGCTCTGCCCCAGGCGTCCCCAAGTCAGCTGCTGCTGAAACTGACCAGCGGCTGACTCAGGGAAGCCCGGGGCAGAGCAGCTCCAATTGTCCGGCTGCCTGGAGCACTTCCAGGTTCCAGATGGTGCCGGACTAGCAGGAGTGCCGGATCACTGGATGCCGGACAACTGGAGTTTTACTGTACCTGGTCCTGCCATGGGGGCAGGGGACTAGACTCGATGACCTCTCGAGGTCCCTTCCAATCCGAGTATTCTATGATTCTATTATATAAAAACTAAAACAAACAGCAACCCTCCCACCCCCCACTCATGTGGCCCCCGACTGAGAAGGAAACAGACACTCCCCACATTCCCCTCGCACATCAGAGCCTGAGGGGGTGGATCAGTGGGGCAAGCAGGGGAGCTAGAGAGCCAGTGTAGGCTCCCCAATGCTGGGGGGAACCCTAAGGGTTGGATCCAGGCAAGCTTGGCCACATCTAGCCCCCAGGCTTTGGGTTCCCCACCCCGACCTAGACCTTCAACTCAAGAGACAGGGGTTCAGTTCCCACTTCCACTACAGATTGCCCACGTAACTTTGGGCAAGTCACTTCAACTCTGACCGGGAAGAGGGGGATCGGACACTCCTGCCATGTAGGGGAACTACGAGGCTAAGTTCATTCGGCTCTGGGAAGCGCTCCCCCAGCCTGATCTCAGACGCACCACATTGGGTGAGCTAGAACCACGTTGGGGGTGTGTCTAGACTACATGCCTCCGTCGACGGAGGCATGTAGATTCTTGATCGGCACAGGTAAACCTGGTTTCACGAGGCATACCTGTGCCGATCAAGAAAGGCTTCTTTGTCGGCGCGGTGCGTCCAGACTGCCCCGATCTGCCGACAAACAGCTGATCGGCAGAGCGGGGCAGCCATTTAAATTTAAATGAAGCTGCGATTATTTTAATCACGGCTTCATTTCCCTCTGCCGATCTGGCTAATCTACATGCCTCTGTCGACGGAGACATGTAGTTTAGACGTACCCTGGGTGAGCTAGAAGCACCACATTGGGTGAGCTAGAACTCTGCATTCCACAGCTGCCTTTGGGGAACTGAGAACCACCCTGAGGACCAGGCTGGGTGGAGAGAGAGAGGAAAAGAGAGCAATGGTGTGAGGTAGTGTAATTTCCACTGTGCAGAACTGAACCTGGGACCTCAGTGTAGGAGCCTCTACAGCTTGAGCAATAAAGCCAGGGGGCTCTCAGCTCAGGCTGTAGAGCTCCCTTGTTCTTATCACTCACTGTAAGGGGTCTAAGTGCCACAACATGGGACAGTGAACCACACTAGGTGTGTGGGCTACAGTAGCATAAAGGATTTGCTGGCCCGAGTTTGGGGTAGCCACTTTTCTGAGTCATGGCAAATCTATAGGAGGTGGCAGGACATCTCAAACTTCTACCGGTTAATCCTCCGGGCAGCCTCATCATGCATTTGGGTGTAAAGCAGTGTTTCTTAAACAGTGTGCCACAGAGAGAACAACAGAGTTCAAAATGGCCACCCTTAAAGTGGCAGGGGCCTTTTTTTTTTTTTTTTGCTCAATAACTTCCCCCCCATCCTTTTTTTGTTTTCTTTTTTTGCTCAACAAACAATCCTTGGTGTTCCTCATAAAAAGAAATTATTGTTTGGTGTTCCTCGGTCTTAAAAAGTTTAAGAAACACTGGTGTAAAGACTTTTATTAATGCATGGGCTTCTGGCCCCACCCCTTCTGATGAGGCCCGCCCCCTCCCTGCCCCCCATGGGGAGGCAGGGCAAAGCACTGCATGTGCCACCCCCAACAACAGGGAGGGAAATGGAGGGGATTGGGCGTGCACTCACCTCAGCCTACCAGGCCCTGGAGCACCGGGGAGGAAGGAGGTCGCATGGCATAGCCCCAGCCTTGGAGCATCGGGGGAGGGAGGAGGGTGTGTGGTGCAGCCCCACCCCGGGAACACGTGGCTCCAGCCTCCCCAGCACTGGAGGCAGCACTGGCCTCCCTGCCCCGGAGCTCAGGGAAGGTGGGCGCTGGGGGCAGTAACACGCCTACTGCAGGTGTTCTGAGGGCAGAGTGTGGGCGGGGCTATGCCTGGTGGTTTGGGAAAGCAAAGCCTTCCCCCGTCTAGGCTACCGGACACCCATGACTAACGCTAATTTGCATGCAGAATCCTCCCCCCCGGAAAGCCAACTTGCCTTGCCCACAGAATTCCCATTGCACCGGTTTATGAAAAATCTCTTTACATAATATGTACTACGGTCTCTCCAACCTGTGAAGGAAGGTTGAAAGAACTGGGCATGCTTGGTCTGGAGAATCCTCATAAAATGAGGTTTTCCTAGTTCGAACTAAGCGCTCCGCTAGTTCGAATTAAGTTCGAACTAGCGGAGCGCTAGTGTAGCGCCTATCAAAGTTAATTCGAACTAGCGTCCGTTAGTTCAAATTAACTTTGTAGTGTAGACATATCCTTACAGACTCACATTGGCTACCCCTCAGAAAATTTTCAACAGAATTAGTACTTTGGATGACTCTTAATCCACTTCATTATTCCTGATCTTTGCTCTTCTTTAAATTCTACCATACTCACACTACCCCTAATCAAACTATGTTCTTCTCTCAGACCCTTCCAAAAACAAATGCTTTCTATAAGCATCCCTTACATCCATTGCAATGTCTCGGGAGACCTGGTTGCTTCTGTCTAGTTTCTTATGCAATGCCTATCATCATGATATCTGAGCACCTTTTGACTTCTTTTAGACTATATCATTACTATAAAAGGGATGTGTGGCAGGGGGGAGAGGGGTGCCTTCACTGAGATAACCACGTCAATGTAAAATCCTAGGTAAGGCAAGGGACAGGTTTTTTTTACTTTAATGTACCCAGCCGAGGTAAAGCCAAGGTAAGAGGGTCTGACATTGACCTTGTCTAGCAAAATCAAAGTAAAACCTCCCTTTTGCTTTGTCTTCTTCACTAGAGTTTTACATTGAGATGACAGCTATCTTGAGTAAACAATCTCAATGTAAAACACCTTTTTTTTTTTTGAATGAACTCCAAGCTTTACTTATGTTGATCTTCTATGAATAGGAAGATACTAATTCAGGGTATGTCTACGCTACCCTCCTAGTTCGAACTAGGAGGGTAGTGTAGACATACCCATAGAGAAGACCTGGTAGCAGTCTGCAGACATGTAAAAGGTTGTTCTAAAGAAAGCAATCGATGGATCTTGTGCCTACCAAGGGTAGGACAAGAAGGAAGCAGCGTAGTCTGCAGCGCTGGAGATTGGGAAACACTTTCTAATCTGAAGGCTGGATAAGCTCTGGAATAGGCTTCTAAGGGAGGCTATGGAAGGTTTTAAGAGAAGGTTGGACAGACACCTGTCATGGATCCTCTATGTTCACTTGGTCCTGTCTCAGGGCAGAGGACTGGGCGGATGACCTCCCAAGGTTTCTTCCAACCCTACGTTTCCATGAATCTCTATCTGATCATCTTATTAAAGCTGGGATGCCCCCCAATCTACCAGGTCTGGAAATCAGCACTACACTCTAGTGCCAAGGCAGTTCCCAGATCCCCAAGGGTATCAAGTTCTAACTCTGGTTGTTCACAAGATATTAGGCCTGGAACTTGTCACTGGTCCGGAACTCAATACAGCCCCATCCTGCAAGTCAGCCCATTGGACTCTGGAGGAAGTCCATATGGCTTGAGCCAAGTGGTTGTTATTGATTTACGTAGCAGCTGAATGGAAGCTGGAAAGGAGGTGGGAAGGTCAGTAGTCCTGCTAAAGGTGGATCAATGAGCACAGCACAGAGGAGATGTTCTGAAACCTATCACGTTTGTAATTTATCGCTTGCTTGAGTGAGCACGGTTGCCAGGGTGCAGAAGAAAGTTCTATTTTCTACTCTGTAG